CTCAGCAGCCAGGGTCCTGGTCAAGTATCACTGAAAGGCTCTTCTAGGTAAGTGCTGGGATTACAAATAGTCTTTAGTTTTCTTCAGAAGTTGTGCTTTGTAAGCTTGTAACTGTTCACTCAGCAAAGGAGGGGCCACTGTGACAGGGCAGGGTCAAGATCTGATCATTGGGTTGTCAGGTACTCTTGAACTTCTAGTGTAGAACTGCAGGGGCAGTAGCTCAGCTGCTTTCATGTGCTGGGCTGGTGGTCAAACAGCTGAGGTCTGCCACTCATGATCAGGCCATCTTTCCAAATGGCAAAGATTGATTGGACTGCAGAAGGACAGATCTGGAAATGCAGCTCTCTGTGAAAGTAGACTCACCTTCAGATTTTTGATACAAAGGGATTTATTTCCAGATCATAATGAGGCTGTTTCTGATGTGATAGAGTTATGAAAAGGCGCTAGTGGACCCAGTCCGCTAGTTCATTGGTATCCCAACAGTGCAAAAGAATGAAGCACCCACAAATTCTTCCTTTGCCATAAATGTTACAGATTTGAGTGCAAGAGGCTTCGTTATCCTGGGGTGTGTAGTCCAACAGTTAAGGGTATTTAAGTCAGTTTTCTGCACTACAGTAGCGTAAATGTAGGGTGACTTAAATATGCCTGAGAACAAACGTCAGCTTCTTGCTTTATGGACTCATAATTTGATGGTAGCAAGAATAAATACAGTTGTGGCGTGCAACACACTTTCTCACACTGTACTGAAGGTGACTGCTGTGCAGGTGTACAAGGTAACTCTAATTAAAACAGTTTCCCCTTGAAATGTAATTTTGTTCCTCCTCTTCACTATCCAGTGGTAGACTAATATTTGTCTCCAGAATGTTTTTCCAGGATCTGAAGTGGAATTACACTATCTGAAGGTTACGAAATATTAGGCAAAAATTATAATTCTCTTCATAGTTTAAAAGTATCTTTCATATTTCAAAAACCCTCCTGCATGTAAAATTCTTTTCGCAAACATTCGCGGTCTTGTACTTATGAGAGAGAGCTTACTAAAAATAGCATGTGCTGCTATCATACTGAGGTTCCCTTCCAGTTGTATCTGCCCCATAGTTTGTTTTCTACTTGATGGAGTATGCATTTCTACATTTACCTTAACATTTTAAAAAAAAATTATATATGTCAAACCAGATATGTTATTGAGAAGCTATTTATTATTACATATTACACTTTCTTTCCCAATAATACGGCCATTCAGTCCATTAGAGAGATCAGGGAAATTAAGAATTGTCTGCACATCTGCAGCTCTTAAAAATCCCACATGTAATACAAACAACTCAGTGATGGACCTTTTTCTTAAACTGTAATCCTGTGATTCTATGTAAAGTGTCACTGTTTACTAATATAGGAATGTGATAGTTTAAAAAAGCAAAATGTTTTTCATGTTGGCGTAGAAATTAATCCAGACTAATATTAAAGCCCAGTTATAAGGAAATTCATAAAAAAATACCTAATGTTCTTATGCAAAATGTTTTGAAACAAAACTGATTTTAAAAAAAACAACTGGTCATCACAGCATGAGTTTGCTAGTTATAGGGTCTCTGGACTTCTCAAATGTCTTGAGAAACAGGTTTTTAGGGAGGTGTCTATTAGTGGATGTCTGAGAGTAGGTGTGTTTTTTCAACCTGTTCTGAAAGCACTGTGGAAAATCTTTTAAGTACTAAACTACCTTTGCCTTAGGTTTAGCTTTTTTTTTAGTGAATATCTTTGATAGAACCAAAAATAATCTTGCATTTCACTGAAGTTCACTGTGATGAGTAAATTACAAAATCAGCAGCCTTTCAGTCTTACTTCATGTCCCAAAGCAGTATGTTCAACAGATGCACAATCCAGCTGAAAAACTGAGTACAATGAAATACATCCTTCAAATAAGAAAAAAGCACAAGAGGGCTGTGACTTGTTGATATAAGTTTTTATCAATGGAAATAATTGATTGGATGTTGTAGCTTTGAAGTCTTAAAGAAATTAAAAGAATATTGAAGACCTCTGTAAAAGCAGTGTCAAGATAGCATCACTTTATTAGAAAAATTACGCCTTTTTTACATTGAAATCTGAACATGTTAATATTTGCCTTTGACAGCAAGAACTCATGAAAGCACAGTATTAAAACAAAGTTGCCTTCATTCATAGTGTGCTTTAAGAAATTAAGAAATGTTACTCCCTTCTTTCCTCTGAGTTTGATTGTGGATTAGGAAGCTACTTAGAAGTTTTTCTAGTGGTATGATGCCATCTTCATGCACATACCTGGTTCAGTCAGGTGCTCCTTCAACATGAAATGAGAGGTAAAACTCTGGAGTATACAAGTCTTACATCTTCACAATGTCCAAGAATGTCTTCAGAGTTGTTCTGACTGTTTGAACTGTTGGCAAGATTTTCCCTTTTTTGATCTTGTCTTCTACCTATACTTCAATAGCTAGAAAGTCTTGATTTTCTTCATTTTTCCTTTTTTAGTGATGCCAAGCAGTTCAACTTGTAATGCCCAGAACATCTGACAAACAAGCTTCAAACTGTCCAGCACATTTATGTGCAGGTGAAAGCAGTCATCAAAATAAGCCTGGTTTTCAGAAGTGCTAAGGAATTATTTTTTCCTCCTTCATTTAGTAAGTGGATTTATAGCTCCTTTACTCCACCCAGGAATAGCTAGTGTGGGGCCAAGCTTCAGCTGCTGTCTCAGCTCTCTGCAGCCTTACATTTTTCACCTCTGGCGCGAAATGTTTTGGCAATGAAAACATTAATGCAGCTTGATTAATTAAGGAATAATGAATGCAAGAAATCTAAATTTATTATGAGGTTGCAAGAAAGAACATCCATGTGTTTCTTTTTATAAAAAACTGAAGAGAATAATATTGCTGAAACTCAATAAATAATCCTAGGTCTTGAATTTTTCCAGGAATTTTTTTTTTCCATTTGTTTATGTGGAAGTATTCTGATTTTAAGGCTCAGAACTCCCAATAAGAACTTTTTCTGTCAGTTGTGTAATTTTCAACTTATATGAACTCCTTTGTAGTTTGTGTTCCCAGGGAAATTCTTTAAGGCTTCTTCACTGTAAATTACTTTTGTGTTTTGTGTGAATTATGTGCTTACTAAGGGTTTAAAATGACCTTTCTTCAAAACCTAGTAAAGAAAAGTTTTTTAAAAAGTAAGTCTGTCCAGCTTTTTTATTCCCTGTATTGTATATCATTAAAAACTATGACAATATTGATGAATGAGAATGATCTATTTATTCAAATGCATATTTTGAAGAAAATCTGGACTGTTTCATTGCTTGAACAAGAACAGAAATGACAGCTTTCATTATGGGCAACCTGACAGTTCTACCTATGCTTAAAGTTGTCCTGCAGCTCTCTTTGGAAGACCTTTTTCTTTTGAGTTTTCCATTGTTTGTAACTTTAACATTTTGGATGGAGAGGTTTTTTTTTCATAGTAGGCATTTCCTTCCTACTGGTTGAAGATGACTACTATTTGCTAAGTTTCAGTCTAAAGTGAAGAAATTTTTCCTATAATTTTTCCTTTCATGCAACTTGAGACCATTTCCACTTGTCCTATTGCTTGTTGCTTGGGAGAAGAGACTGACACCCACCTCCCTACAACCGCCTTTGAGATAGTTGTAGAGAGGATGAGGTCTTCACCCCTTAGCCTCCTTTTCTCCAGGCTAAACAACCCCAGTCCCTTGAGCTGCTTCTCACAGGACTTGTTCTCTAGATCCTATATCTGAAGTTGAGGAGACACCATATGTTCATTGAGTCAAAATATGTCTGTTCACATCTGAGAAGCACTGCATTTTCCAATGCTTTTACTGCTGTACAGGCATAATTTAGGGACCTCCCCCCCCGCACCCCCACTCTACTGTCCTACCTTGTAAAGCAGCAAGCTGCCCAGAATTTAGCGATGCTAGTTTTGATGGGTTTGTTCTATTGCAGTCCTTAGAATAATGAAGTAAGTAGGCCAGAAGTGACCTGTGAGTATCATACAGTTCACACCTCTGCTCAGAACAGAGCTATCTCCTCAATTAGGTCAGGTTGCTATATCCAGATGAGTTTTGCACATTTCCAGCAATGGAGATTCTGTAACCTCTCTGAGCGACTTGTTCCAGTGACCTTCCTCACTGTGAAAAATCTCTTACCCATAACTCTTTGAGTTTTCTGTGATACAGCTTGTCTCCAAGAGACAACTTGACTCTTATCTTCTGTATGTTTACTCACAAGGCAACTAAAACCCAATAAAATTCCCCTTTAGCCTCCTCTACTTAGAACCAATTAACTCAACTCTTGCAAATTCCTCTTAAGTCATGTGCTGCAGACCTCTAATCGTCTTCACGACTCTCTGCTGGAGATGCTCCAAGATATCCATGAGAGAAGTGCCGCCCTTCAGATGTGGTCTCACAAATACCGGACAGAGGGGATTAATCACTTCCCTTTGTCTCCTGGCTATGATCTTCTCAACAGAGAATAGTATACAAGTAGCCCTCGCTGCCATGTAGTGCTGATTTTACTAAAATTGTCTGTTAAATATTCCTTTGCCTCCAGCTAAGACAACAGCTAGTTTAAAATATATGTATTTATCCCTAAAGGCTATGGAAGTCAGTCTCGTAATCTCTTTAGAAATGGAGATCTGACTGCCTATGTGATATATAATAATTGAGTTATAAAACCAGTAAAGTGTTTAAAAGAAAGCTGACGGATGGCTAAAAGAACTGGCTGTTCCACACTTTACCGTATTATAGTTTCATTATTAGAATTAAAATTATATGAATGGAGTTGTCACAGAAGAATGCTGCCTCACAGAATACTCACCAAGATGAGAAAAGCTGGGGTTAAAAAGGAGACATAGTCTTTGACGAGATCCTCTGCGGTTTTCTTTAAAAAGAGTTGGCAGGCAGGGAGAGAAAGAAAAGGCATATATTGTCAAGAGAAGACAAAACTAAGGAAAACAAAAATAAACGGAGGACAAAGGGCGTGATGATCGTGATGATCAATTCTCATACAAGTAAGGAGCAGGATTGGTGGGACTGCTACCTTGGACTTCCACAGGGCTGACTTTTGCTTGTTTTGGAGACTTTTTCACAGGGTCCCTTGGGAGATAACCCTAAAGGGCAAAGGAGTCCAGAAAGAATGGATGCTCTTTAAGAAGGAAACCTTAAAGGCACAGGAACAGATGTTTCTGTAAATATCTTTGCAACAAAAGGAGAGGTAAGCAGAATGTCCATCCCTTATTGGACACTATTTCCCACAGTATTCTGGAGAAACCGGCTGCTCATGGCATGGACAGGTGTAAGCTTTTCTGGGTAAAAAAAATGGCTGGATGGCCAGGTCCAAAGAGTTGTGGTGAATGGAGTTAAATTGAGTTGGCAGCTGGTCATGAGTGGTGTTCCCCAGGGCTCAGTGTTGGGGCCATTTCTGTTTAGTATCTTTATCAATGGTCTGGACAAAGCAATTGAGTTTACCCTCAGAAAATTTGCAAATGAAACCAAGTTGGGCTGAGTGTTGATCTCCTTGAGGATAGGAAACCTCTGCAGAGTGATCTGGACAGAATGGATCAAATTACTAAGGTCAATTAATAATTTAATAATTAATAAGGTCAAATTAATAATTTGACTAAGGTCAAAATAATACTAAAACTCATTATTTATTTCCATAGAGTATTCGGTGTTCCCTCACAACTCCAGTCCCGCACTGTCAATGGCAGCTGTCATTATGGGGGACAAAGACTGGCTCAATGCCATTCCAGGGGGTGGTGGGAACTGGTCTCTTGTTCCACCAGAGGCAGGGTAGAAAGGGTAGCCCTCTATGTGGAAAAACACTCCAAAGACCTGAGGACTTTTTGTGAAGCAGAGGTGAATTCCATCAACACCAGCAGGTTTTTGCTTCCTGAGGCCATGATTCAGTAGTTTTCTTCCAAATCTCTCAAGGCAGGACCAAGGAATGGGTTTTGCAGTCATCAGACATCTGTATGAAGAGACTCAGAACAGCCTTTTTGTTCCTGGGGAGGGGGTCAGTAACTGAACTCCATCTTAGAAGATGGACTTCCCAATTTACTGCTCAGGGAAGAAAAGCATTGGTGGCTACAGCAGACTGTCATTAGTCTAAGTACTGTGGGCCAATATCAATGTTCAGAGGGCTGAAAGTTGGTGTTATTGTGGGGTGCTCACCTGTATAATATGTATTCTGCAGACACTCCGGGCATTTTTTCCTCTGAAAGTGGAAATAACATCACAACTGTAATAAAAGCTATTCAGAACTGCACAACTGTATGCTACCTGCCTTGCAGATGTATGTTATTTTTATCTACTTCTTTTTTTTATTAAAGTCCTATTAAATGTTTGTATTGATGAGTAACTGGGACTGGAAGGCAAAATAAGTTGATGGCCAACTTTGCAGAATATATACCTGAACGAATGAGGAAGCAGTAGTTTTACTTAGCACTATATAAAAACAAAAAAGTGAAGGCAGTGCAGTGAGCTTAGTTTTCCATTTTTATCTGTCATAGATGTAAGTGATTCAAACATATAAGCATGGAAAAAGATGACAGTTTGAAATTATAACTGCATGAGTCTCAGGATAACATTTCCTGTGTGCTTTGGTTTGACATTCTTTAGAAAAAAAGGTTGGTTTTGCTGAAGTATAAACCAATTAAAAGTTAATGCTGTTTTTCACTGGGCACCCATGCTAATGTAGAATGTTCATTTATTTCATGTGTATGCTTAGTTAATTAAGCATCCACTAATTTCCTTCTCTTTGGGAAATACTCGTGCAAATTAGCACTCTGTATGTGAAGACTGTTATTTAAGGTAAGGATAAGGACAGACTATTATTATTTTATTGTAAATTCTTAACCCTTTGTCCTGCAAAGTGTTGATGTTTTCATTGGAGTTAAAATAGGTTGCATGTTTACAGGAAGCCTGAAATCTCAATATGTGGTCCTATAAAATTTAATTATTTGCATCATTAGAACATCTAATTTTTTGCTTAAGGGTACACGGATGTACTATTGAATCTGTTTTTTAAGGTTTTTTACAGTTTAATGTCTGAATCCAAATTCATAAAGAGTTGGAAAAATGAGATGTCTGAGCTATAGGATTCACAGGGATTTTATATGAAGCCTATTTAATCAGGATAACACTGTTATTAATATTCATAAAGTCAGCTGGAACACAAATGACAGACTATGGAGCCTAAAATTTTTTACTTGTGAATTTATTAAAAGCAGCTTAAAAAATTAATGGAATTTAAGTAAAGTTGACGAAAATGAAAATCTTATGTTAGCAGAAAAAATCTTTATTAGAACTTTCTCTAAGACCATCTTGCATTGATATCTTTGACAGATTTCATTGGTACTTAAAGAAGAAAGATGCATGAATGGTCATTTAAAAGGATTTAAACACATTGGCACATTAATTTTTACATGAATAATAAGTAGTTTCCAAAAGCAATTAACTTACAGTGTACAAGATTTGAATAGAAAAATAGGACTGTGACATCAAAGGGCAAAGCAAATGTGCCATACATTTTAAACTTTTAATAATACGGCTTCTTAAAATAATTTATTTCATTTCCACAGTAAGTAAAGTAACAGTGAAGGTATTTGTGTACAGGTTGGGTTTGTTTTGAAATACACCAAACTCTAGGACAAAAAAATTTCAGTGCCAAAGACCAGTTTCAGGCTTTTACAGTGATCAGGTGCCTGAGAATTGAGCTTTCTTACAGTCAGTTTTGCTCTGTGGAAAATAGTCATCTACTGACCACTGTGTGTTTTTCTCCCATGCTGCTTTATTTAGCACTGGGAAGCATTCATTACTTCTGTAGAGGGCAAAGTAGGTAGATAGAGTATTTCTTTCATTAATACAAAGATACTGTTACTTTATATTTGTATTTGTAGGTGGTTTGGTACTGAAATATTTAGTGTCAATTTTATGTGATTGTTGCATATTCATCAGATAAGGACAATTTTTAGGGGTTTTTTTGTTTGTTTTCTTTGCACAATGTTCAGGCAGTAAGTAGTCTTAACACTAGTGCAGGTTGAATAAATAGATAGTGAATAAGGAAATTAACTCTAGATTTTTGGTTACAGTTTCATTTTGAGTTTTCTGTTTCAGTGTTGACTATGTCTACCAGTATACATTATTTTAATCTCCAGCATTAATTTATTTTGATTATTAGACATTGATTATTAATAGATTGTTTCAAATTAGAATAAAGAAAAAGTTTACAATATTTTTTTTTTTTTATTTCTCCTGGCAAAACCTTCATACCCAGCTTCTTATTGTTGTTGGTGTGGTGGAGTTTAACACCATCTGAATAATGATGGTTCAGTAAGTTTTGGTTCTTAAAAATACCTTATGTTTGACTTACCTACTATAAACATACACCTGGAAAGAGAATGTAAGTGTTGTGCTTAAGTTAGATATCTATTGCAGCGTTTGTATTCAGAACAACCGATTTACCTATTTAGTGTTATGGCATATATGGGTGTGCTGTTTACTAAATTTTTTTTTTAATAATAGGGGAAGTATCCTGCAAACCCTAGGGTGCCCCTCAAGATCTTTCCGTTTGACTTTGATTTATAGGTTGCCGTAATCTGATATCAACAACGTTTTTGTTTTCTGTATGTATAAACCAGAAAATTCCTATTACTTAGCAGAACATATTTCACCTATGAAGACAAAGTCTGTAAAATGAGCCCCTTTCATTTCTGTCTCCAATTATTCCTGCGTCATATTCTGTTATTTCCAGGAGAGGGCAGCATTTTCCTACATCAGGTACACACGGGCACATGCCCTGCTTAGACTCAATGTTTCTTATAATTACTCCCAGTATATTTGTTGCTTGCTTATGAATTAACTTGCATTTATGGAACTAAATCATTCCAATCATTTAATTACACCTGAGGAGCTGAACTATAATTGCTTGCTTCCAACTAGGATCTGATATGGCTTGAGCAGTATTAATTTGGTGTTTACTTTTCTGAGTGCTAAAAGCATTAAAATGATTGTGCAATGGGATTACATTTTACTAATTGCTGGCATTCATTAGCTGGGTAAATGGCGAGGAAGAATGACTGTATATTGTGGATGGATAAAATTATGGTTTTAAATAGTATATTACTAGGCACATTAAGGCCCTAAGACATGTTTTAAAATACTCCAGAGGTTATTAAATACCGTATTTTCTTCATGTCTTGCTATATGAATATCTTATTAAAATACTGCAATTATTATGAGCCTTTCAAAAGTAGGGAAATGGCTTCATTGCCAGAAACCTATTTCTTGATATTAATAACCTTCTATATTTTCATCTAATCCAAAAGTAAATTAGGAACTTAGGAAAAGATTGCCAACTCCAAAGCAACACAGTTACACAGAATTGAAAAGGAAGCATACAGCTTCATTTGAGGGATTCTTGTAAGGACCTCAGTGTTCTGCGGTATGAGGTGAAGTTGTTATTTTTTGTCAAGTCTTAGGCACATCAAATAATACTTTTTTATTTTTTATTTCTAATCATGCACATTTGTAGTTAACAACAAATATGAACTAAAAAAAATTTTTTTGACTGTTTAGTGTTGAAATTTAAGTGTTTGCACACTTACACTTTTTATAATCTCAAACATAGAAAATAAAATATCTGCCTTTCTGGTGTTGTGTAGGAAAATAAGTTCTTCAGCTGCTTTATTAGTTAGAATATATGTCTTGGTATAATATGCTTGAATTTTAAAATGTGTACTTAATTTTTTTTTTTTCCTTGACGCTTACATTTATCAGCACAATGACAACTCTGGGTATTTTCATGATCCAGCCACTGCCTCTTCAAGGCATATGTCGTATCTTTTTAATAAATGTAGAAAAAATACAGCAGGGAAAACATACAAAATAAGCACAACTGTGTAGTTCAAGATAAAAAGTTGTCCTTTGTACAATACATTTTAAAAGAGGTGCTTGAGTTAGCATTAAAATTTGTTGTAAGAGTAATATATTTGCAAGATTGCACATTTATTCAGATTTTTTTTATATCAAACATAGTTGGATTTTTAACATCTCAGCATATATTTTATCTGTTATGTTACCTGACAAACATAACATATTACTGTATTTTTCATTTTTGAGTACTAAGTGTTGTTTCTTGAAGATCTTTGAGTATAGGAAATACTGTAACTGTGTAATTAACTGTATAGGCTGAATCAATATGTATGCAAATATTAGGATGGATTATTTAACTGTTTAGAAGAACCTGCAGGTTCAGAGTTGGTCGCGGGCCACTTTACCTGTATTTTATCCAGGAAATTAAAGCAGAAGAAACAATGTTATAAAGTAAAGCACATGCCACCATCTGTAATAATTACCAAAGTGAGCAGTTTCATTGCCTCTAGCGGGACCAGTCAGTGTGATTTGGGCTGTGCACAGCAGCGTGTACTTCCAAGACCAGACTCTAGAACAAGAAGACAAGCTAATCAAGTTTTCAATGAAGGCATTATGCACACCAGGAAGCTGCACCAAAGCCTTATAAAAATTAGATGTGTGAAAACAAAAATATTTTACTGAGAAATATAATTTATCATTGACTGTTAGACAGATTTATTTTCCTGTTCTAAATATTTTTAAATCAGTTTTCTTGTCAATTTTCTGTCAAATGAAGGCCAAGTGTAGGTGTGTTCTAATATATTGTTTCAAGTTTATTTATCTAGAGTTTGCTTTATTTTAGCTCTGAAGTCTTTGTGCAAAAACTGAACTCAGTGCCAGATCAAACAAGTTCAGAAGAACAAATGGAGAACTGGGCAAAAGGTAAGGACTTTTAAGATATTAATAAGGAACCTCAGGTGTTGTACCAGTGCTAGGCAGTGACAGGAATGTATTTGTTCTTGCCGATATATGGCTGACTTTGGAAGAAAAGTGAAAAAAAACCCCACAACCACATGCTTCCTTGTAGAAGTATTGGGGTACAGGAGAACAGCTGCAGGAATGTCAATCATTAGCTTTGTTTTTGTATTCCGGATTATTGAAAATGTTTTTCTATAGCTTTTGAGAAGTCTTATTTAAATTCTTAGTTGGTATGTTGCACTTTACTTTCCAACCTTTTTTTTTCATAATGGGTTAAAAACTAATCAGAAGCCTGTCTTAAGGTAACTTTCTTGGCTATTCATGCCTGGCCCAGAGTATGATTAAACCATCTACTAAAATTAGCAAATGTCTTATTATAGACAGTAAAGTAGGCTTGGAGATAAACTCCATGATTCGTGGAGTTTTCACATCCACCAGGACAGAAGGATCTTTTTGTATTTGGATAAGCAAAATTTTGCTCTCAGATATGTTCCTCTATATTTCAAGGCAGAAGCTTTAAAATAAAATTAAATTTAAAAAAAGGAAAAAAACCCCAAACAAACATTGAGTTTGAGAGCACATGATGTGACTGACTGACTTCAGAGAATAGTCAGAAAGTAGCTTGTGACTAGATAATAATGTGTAGATTGAAATAAGGCAGAAACACAGGAAGGAAACCTTCAGTATACCATAAAAGGGTGGATTTTTTTTTTTAGTAAATAGCTATGTGTAGTTTTAAAAAAATGAAGGAATAAGTATGTTAACATCAAAGATGGCTTCTAAATCAGAGCGTGTTAGCATCTTGTGTGTTCCTTTTTTGACTTTTGTATTATGTATTCTTTCTCAAAAGATAATAAATGTCCAGTTTCTCACTGAGAGTCTGTTATTTAGAAGAAAGAATGGATATGATGGATATATCTTGGATATGATGCATTTCTTACAAAAAGGAATTTCTGTCTTTAATTTTGTGTAAACCGAACTACTTTTAGACCCCTTTTAATTCATGGAATTTTGAGCTATTAGTGAGTGGTGTTAATTTTTTTTTTATCATATACTCTGAAAATAAAAATAGACATGGCAGCCTAACTTAGTGGAAAATTATATTCTGGCAATTTATACTTTATTTGTGTAATGGCTTTATGAAATTTAGTATTTTCAGACCTTTAGGGGTCAGCATACCCTAAGAATGGTTCAAAAGGTTAACTTTTGCGAAGTAGGCAAGTAAATGCCATTAACTGATTCTCTGAAATATTTTCTAAATGCAAGAATTTGTGCTTTGCTGCTCACAGATACTTTAAAAACCAGGAAGTTATTGAGTTTCATGTGTATTATTTTTCTGATCTATTAATATTTTCTGCTATTTAGAAAGCTATGTCTTCCAAGCTAACGCTTATGTATTTGTGTATCCAGTAGAAGTTTTTATATAAACAAAAGTAGAATTGGTACCATGTTTTTTTTAGATCAGTCATTAATAAGCCACATATTACTTTATGCTTTACTCCTAGGAAAACTGAAAAGGGGATTATAGGTAAATCTCATGTCATCATACTGTTTTGAATAAGGAATATTTATTTTTTTTGTTACAATTTGATTTGGGTATTAACAGTTAAATTATGTTTTCTTATCATAAAGATAATAGACAAATTACAGCAACATTATGTTCAGTATGTATCCTAGATAGACATTCTGGTGTATTTTCTCATTGAACTACTAAATCAAAGCAACTTTTAATCTTCCATTTAGTTGTCCATGTTTAAGTGTGTAAAATTTTGTGTTTCACTTGTTTTCTCAGCTGTTTTGTCTTTCCCTTTTGCATCTGGTACTGTACTGTACCTAGCTGTTCCTTGCTTGTAAATTGGAAGTTTAAAAGCTGTAATGATTTATTCAGATTTTTTAAATAACATACTGAGATATTGGAGATTAAATTAATTGTCAAAAAATAAGGATGCTAAAACATTTCTGAGATTCAATTCAGCTGACTCAATGAAAATCCAGTAAAGTGATGAGAATTAAAAAAAAAAGGCAACAAAAAAGTTAGGTATGGAGAAGTGGTGGGTTTATGGCAGTTAAGTGGGATAATATGTAACCTGTTAATAGGTGTTATAAAATAAAATACTTGAAAGAAAGGTAGTGGGTAGTGTTTAAGAAGAGTATATCTTAAGTGTTTGATAGTTGAGATTTTCTTTTTAACTTCCCGTGTTGTTTGAAATTATAATATGCTTGTGTAGGTTCAAGCCATTTTTCTGTCTCACTTCTGGCAAAACAGGAAGAGTTAAGAATGGTCTGTGTGCCAGGTTTATTATTTTGGGTTATTATTTTTCTCTAAGAATACTTGAGAGAATGTATCAGGAACATTGGCAGCAGGCCACTGTAATTTCCAAATGAAATATAATCAGGATCCAAGCTAGAAAGTCTAGGGTGGTAGTCCGTTATAAAAATAAAATTATATTGACAAAAAGGGGTATATCTTTGCATTGCAGTGGTGGGGGAAGCACATTGCACCTGGGTGGAGTTGTTACTTTAGCAGGGCTTATGTACATGAGGAAAACTGCACAAACATTAATACTGTGAAAACACAAGAAGGAATCTGAAACATATACATTCAGGACTCAATGTGACAGTTTTACAAAAAAACTTATCAGGATAGGAAAGTAGTGAGTGTGCAAATACTGGAGTTAAATTTGTGTCTCATTTGACTCATACCATGTACTGAGTTTGAATGGGTGCAGCTATACTTCTGTATTGTATAGTATTTCACTATTGGAATGTTTTTGCTTGTAGCATATTTCTGAGCATCTATGATTTTTAATGACAAAGCAGAAATGAGATGTAGTCATGGAATATCAAGTACTGCTTGGTCTGTTTTGACAACAAAATTATATTTTTGCTGACTCTAAAATGAAAAGCATTGTATAATTATTATTTGGAATTTCCTGAAACAAAGTAGTAGATTTATTATTTTTAATGGCAAAGTCATTTGCTTCCTTAAAAGGCAGTTATTATCTTTTTCAAGCACAGAAATAAATATTCATTTTTTTCTACTCCACTACTTGGAGCACATATTGAATTGTAAGTCAACAAACCAATTTCACCTGTAAGAATTTGATGTCATTCGTTAGTTATGTTCCATAATGGCACTTAACTGTAAATTGTTATTCTTCAAAATAATGTCTATGCATCTTGTAAAAATACTTTTAAAATTACATGTCTGGAAACTAGTTCAGAGGAGACTGTAGCTTTGAAGAGATGTGATAATGTAGATAGGAACAGAACTGCAGAATCAGCTTATGCCAGGAAATTTGGAAAGTGAAGAATTTGAAGACTGTCTGGTTATGAGCTGTTGTTTTCCCATATTGCTTCCTTCATGAAAAAGAGAAGAGGAAAACAGTCATGCAAACCTAGTAACAAGTTATGTATAGATAGCTACTCAGAGGCATGTGCATGTGATGAGCTTATGCATAAAGAGTTGTCCTAATGGCATTGTGTCTTTGTAGATGCATTGGTCTTGTATGAATGCATGGTGCTTACTATTAAGAATCTGTCCCTGGCTTTCCTTGTGTTGTCTATATGCCAGCATATTGCTCACAAAAATATTTTAAGCTATTTTCCTGTGTAGTGGATAATATTTAGGAAATTATGTAGAAATATTTTTTTGTATTTATTTACTCCCATTTATAAATTCCATTAATTGTCAGCCATGGTAATTGAGGCAATGTGCAGTCATATGCATAGGTTAAGTAAAATGGGATCATCTTTTTTTGCTAACTTCCAGGAACTGCACCTCTTGTTCCTCACTATGTGTGTATAGACCATCTGATGAGAATAAGTTAATTTTTCTAATTGTAATTATTTTAATGTCCTTTTTTTGCAGGTTTGGTTTTGTCGTGTTATTTACAAGGATGTTTTTGTCTGAAATTACCATAGTGTGACTTTAACACAGAGACTAACACGTGCACATAAAGATAAAGGGCTAAAGAAAGCTTTGAGAGTAATATGGTGTAGTAAAGATTTTTGATCTGACCCTACTTGGGTCAAAAAGCAAATAATTGTGAAGATACTGCTTCCCCTTTTCCAGAATACACCCATTGCAGCTGCAAACACTTCAGAGTAAAGCTGAAGCCCTTATTCCAAAGCTGTAGTAGAGACAGAATAAGCCATACTTGTCATATTGAAATCAGTTTTACATGCCTAAACAGGAGATACTGTGAACCTGTTCTTCCTCTCCTTCCCTCTTTTAGCAATAAGGAATGCTGTTTACCTGGGAAAGAAAGACCTGGATAACGCATGGGTGTTTATGCAAAATAATCTACATGATACACAGAGAGGCAGAGTCCTCTTCACACATGTGGCTCAATTAATTAGTGTCTTCCATGTGTGTCGTGCTTTCAGCATCAAATTTGCTGTGTGCTAGCTGTCGGAGATCCCCTTGCAAATTGGCATGGGTAGTTACAGGTTTCTCTGCACAGTAGAGAAGGCAGAAGAGTGGTTGAGAGGATGATCTTGCATGAGTCAAACATAAGAAGAGTGGCTAGTAACTGTTGAGCAACACTAAGTACAGAAGATAAAGAAAACGTCTTGCAGGGAAAAAGACGGCATAATGTGCCATGACTTACAAGATAAAAACAATAACTGAAAAATCATCAAATACGGTCTGGTCTTTCCTGTAAATATAATCACCCTTTTATGCATATAAATTCTGATGTCTCCTTTTTCCATCCCATTTCTTTTCTTGTACGTTTTGAATGGTTAAATACCGTGCGTTTCTGCCTAGGCTGGGTGCAGAAAGACATCAGAAGCACAGTTAAGTATCCGGTATCTGCCTGACTCATTGGAGTGTTGCAAATATGGCTTTGTTAGACCCTTTACAGTACGCTGAAAATGCATAGTGCCTTATCTACACTGAGTACTGCAAGCACTAAAGATGAGGAGAATGCACACCTTGAAGCATTGCACTTTTGAATCAC